GCTACTTCCAGAACTTTCTGGAAGCCCATTTTAATTATTCAGGCCGGGCCATTTTCTGGGGATTTGAATGAACCTCACCTACACTTACTGATCAGGCTGTAGGGGATCCTTTCTCCAGAGAGAGTTGCTCACTAACCCATGTCCCTTGAACTTGGCCCCAACTTCTTCTAGCGAGAGGGGCCAAGGCCTTGGAAACAGGAAAACTTGATTTGGAGTCAGATCATTAAGAGGGCGGGGAAAAAAGAAGTCCTCTAAACAGCTTCCACAGGTTCCACACTCTCCCCAAGGATCAGACTTGCTCGAGAAGATTTCCATATTTTGAAACAATTGAGTAAATCAAATATCAGCTGAATCAATTTTCAGAGTTTTGAGAAAAGAAAGCAATTTCTACCAAATATGCATGTTCTTACACTCTTACTTAACTTTGCTTGAGGCTATATATAATCTCCAGTTAGCCTCTGTCTTGGTTTGCATCCTTCCAGAAGCCAACAATGAGACAAATATGTGAGTACGGAGTCTTTTTTTCTGGGAATAATCCCAAGTGAATTGATGGAGTAGGAAAACAGAGAGGGACCAGAAGATAGTAAATGAATGGGATATTAGTGAGCAGGTAACTTCTGAGAGCAACTGGGGCTCAATTCCATAGGGGAGCCCTGGGCAACAATATTAGAAAATGTGTCAGGTACTCTAATCAAGGAAAGATGGAGTATTTCCGTAACTCCTCTGCATCATGCGCTGAGGGGTCCCTCCCACTCACCCACCCATGCTGACATTTCTCATTTTGCTGCCAGAGAAAATGGCAGGCGAAAAGTTGCAGGTTCTGATACAAACAGTAACTAACAAGGAAATAGATCCCAGGCACCAAGGGCATCTGCTCCGGGTGCACATCCCTTCCTCCCAAGGCACCTATCCATCCCACAACCCAAACATACCAACCAAGGAACACTCTTTGTTATGAGCTGATCTCTATTGGCTTCCAGGATTAAACTAAACATTAAAGAGACCATCAACCCATAGGTGGTAATTGGAATATAGAAGAAAAAAGTGCGAATGTTTAAATACTCAAGGGAGGGTTCTACTATAAATCTGGAAGATAAACCGTGATATCACTGGGTAGATATCACTGATCCAGGGTCTTAGGTTCTCCAGGGCACCGTGTGTAACCTTCATTGCCAATTCTTCTGAGTTCTCATGTCAGCACACCTTTGTTCTGCCTGCTCCACCTTATCCTGATGTCTATCAAGTATCTCACTCTCTAGGCCTGGGGGGGAGGGGGGGGAGACAGGCTTAGCATGTACTTAAAGTTTAGGAGACTATAACTGACAAATGAGTGGGCTTCCCCTCATGACATTTTATGGTTTTTTTCTGGAAATTAAAGGTAGCACGTGTAATCAGGAGCTCAGATTCGAACCAAACTGCCTGGGTCTGAGTCCATCTTTATCATTTATTAGTTGTGTGTGATCCTGGGCAAGTTATTCATCTGCTGTGTAAAATGGGCTTAATAATAATACTACCACTTTGGGCTGCTCCAAGGATTCGATGCTTTAATACTTGTACTTAGAATAGTGCCTGGAATGTGCTCATTGCTTGATAGGTGTCTGATAAAGAAATATAAAGGAATCCTACAATAGATATTTAATAATGCCTCATGGTTAGTGCCAGGAGGAAATAGTGTTGGATAAAATAGTCCTACCTACACTATCAAATTATAGTTCCAAAGTAAGCTTTTTTCTCATTTTTCTTTCCACACTACCAAAAATAAGAAGCACGAATCTTGAACCCATCATAAATGAGGTGGAGGGTAAGTCTTGTCACGGACTAGCTATGAAAACCTGCTTTCTCTGGGACTCTAGCTGTTTGCTCACACCTTGGGGACAGTGACCCTGTCAAGTATCAAATAAAGTAACTCATCTATAAAACTCTAATATGCAAATAGACCAAATGGCGGAACAACCTAACAACTGGTCGCTATGGCGTGCACTGACCACCAAGGGGCGCATGCAGAACATGGCAGGCATTAGCAGCAGGCAGCAGAGTGTGAAACATGGCGGTTGTCAGCCATGGGGGGATGGTAGAGCAGGTGAGCGGGGGCGCCAGACCAAGGCGGGGCACTGGTCGCTGTCATCGGGGCGAGCCTCTGGTGGTTACTAAAAATTCTTGCTCCTGCGCCCTGTAGTCCTGCCCAGCTCTCACACCTACTGCCGGTGCCAGCCCCTCTCACACCCACTACCAGCACCAGAGCCACTACTCACACCCGCTGCTGGCGACTGGCGCTGGCCTTGATCGCTCAGCGCCATCAGTGGGTGCAAGCAGCAGCTGCCAGCCCCTATCGCTCCTTAGGCTTCTCCACCTCCACCTGCTCCTGAGGGGCAATCAGGGCTGGCAGCCGTTGCTCACACCGCTGCCAGTGCTGGCCCCAATTGCTCTGTGCCATTAGTGTGTGTGAGCAGGGCTGGCTCTATCAGCTCATGCGAGCGGTGGTGAGAGTGGGGCTGCCAGCAGACAGGGGACCAGGGGCCGCAGCGGGAGGGACTAGGAGGGGGCGCAGAGGATGGGCTGAGACCTGCCCCTGTGCCCACCGCAGCCTCACAGCCCACAGTTCCTTTCAAGGTGCACATATTCATGCACTGGGACCCTAGTAGATAAATAACTTGCAGGCTCTTAGGTGTTTTACGAAGTGAGCTCTGCTTACTGCTTTCTTTTACTTCTCTTGCTTCTTTTCTATTTTCTTCATGATCCCTTCTCCATTTTTCTTTCATTTTTATCATTCCCCTCTTACAAAATAATCCAAAGGAAATTTTTTAGACCAAAACTAAGAGGACTATAAAGTCAGGAGTAATCTTATCAGCCATAGGTAAACTCTTGTAAAGAGTAGTCAGCCTTCTTAGTCTTTAAATATAAATGTATTTTAGGCCCTTACTATTGTTTGTAGCTGCATTTTAAAATTTCTTATAGTGTCACATTTTTTATTCCACTACACTCTATGATATGACTTAAAAAATTATCCTATTTTTAATGCACCCTCTTTTTTGCAACCTATTTCCAATTATGAGACATTTGGGTGTTTTTCTCCAAATTTTCTCCTATCCTATCTAATAATAGAGAAACATGGTAATTAACCATAACTTCACTACCCTTCCCATTGGCTAATCAGCAGGATATGCAAATTAACTGCCAACAAAGATGGCGGCCGGCAGCCACTCAGCTGAAGCGAGCAGGAGGCTTGCTTGCTCCAGTGATGGAGGAAGCCAAGGTTCCCCGCCTGCCTCAGCCCAGCTCTGAGCTCTGGATGCAACAATGTTGCAATTATAGAAGCTAAACAAACTCAGATACCTGCTTTCAACCAGCCGCGGCCTCAGAGCTAGAGCCGGCTCTCAGCTCCAGTGATAGCTATAGAAGGTAAATAAATCCCAGAAAAAAAAGAAAAAAAAGAGGCTGGGAGCTTCAGTCACCTGCCAGCCTGAAAACAGCCCTCATTCCCTCACCCAGACTGGCCAGGCACCCCAGTGGGGACCCGCACCCTGAAGGGGGTGTGACCAGCTGCAAATAGCCATCAGCCCGTCATCCAGGCTGG